GCCAAGGTGGAAGTCACTCTGTTTATTTCTACCCGGAAATGGCAAGTGTGATAATTTGAGTTTAAAGTGCTGTCTAACCCCTCCTCTTGGGTAGAGGTTATCATTTCCTGGATAACCATACAATACCCTGCACAATGGGGACTTAAACTGGTTGATGTCTCAAGTTGCTGATAAATATAACTCTGAAATGGTCATAGTAATGCAAAAAGGGTCCTTGGGTGTTACTGAAAATTGATACAATAGCATGATACAAATCTAGGACTAAGATTGCTGCCACTCCTATTTCTTTCTAATTGGATTGATTGTTTAATTTGGTATAAAGCATTAAATGTCCATTGCCATTGCATTAAATTTGGTTTAAAAAAAAAAAAAAGTATGCATGAACAGACTACCAGACTTCAATTACTGTGTGCTTCGCCCAGTGTCATGGAGCTGGTGCTGAAAGTAAGACCATCATTCTTAGTTTTAGCTGCAGGATTTGTATCACTTGCCATATATGCTTTTCAAAATGGGTCTTTGGAAAACTTCAGACCAGACAAATCATTGTCTGCTTATTGAGAAAATCTTGTCCTTCTAGTCATGGGCCAATAGCATTGTTTCTAATGTACTGTTTCCTCATTTTCAAGACTTGACACCCAGCCAACTGGCTATGCACTGAATTCAGTGGACATTTTGTCTAAGGTCATGATCCAGCAAATGTCTTTGTATGTGCTTAACTTTAGGCACATGAATGGACTCAAACTTAAACTTCTAAGGTATTTTTCAAGTGCACAAAGTAAAGACTACACACAAAGTGTTTGCAGTTCAGACCTTTGTAAGAAATTTGGGCTAAAAGTTTTTTAGCTTAGAGTTTAATTCTTAACTCTTGTTTCAACAAGCAACTGAGAAATTTTATTGTTTCTTAAAAAATGCAAAGAATCAGTGTATGTAACCAGATATACTGTTTTTTCCAGATTTTAGTTGTGTTTAATATTGTATTGTCTCTTAGATTTACAAAATGGAACAGGAAGAGAATCAGCTGAGGACCGAGATGCAGGATGCAAAAGACCAGAATGAGCTCTTAGAATTCAGAGTGCTAGAACTTGAAGTAAGAGATTCTCTCTGTAAACTCTCAAATGGAACAGAAATTGTGTTTGAACCCAAGCTGAAATTCATGTAACGTTCAGTGGTGACCAGTGCATGTATAAGGGAAAGACCCCTTTAGTTTTTTTTTAATATTGTATGTTTGGATAATGAAAATGATGCCACTGCCTTAATATGTTTTGAAAAGAATGCTCACTAATGTTTATGAAGATGTAAAATAGCTAATATATATTGCATATAGTTTGTTTTGCACCTAATAAAAATATTTTGTTTTGCAATCTTTTGCCTTTTTATTTGTTTCATTTCCATAACTACTCCTTTCTTGCATGTGAAATCACTTGGTATGCATACTACAAACTTGGTTGGCATTGTTTCGATTAACACGCCTTCTCACGTCTTGCATGCAATAAAGTCTAAGGATCTCATACATCCATCATGTCAACCTGTAATTGTTTTTAATTAAGAATATTTTCAAATAATTTTTACTTTATATTAGTGCAAATGTTCATAGCTGATGTTGAAAGCACTCAAAGTCTCTTCACTGCTGATATGCAGTGTTACTGGATTAGAATCAATTGGCATTACTAAAAGACAAAAGGAAATATTTACAGCTAGTAAGACAAATTAGAAGGGTGAGGCACAAGCATAACTGGTGGAAATGAAGGTAACATTCTTAATGGCAATTTCTTCCTCAAATTCATTCATTTGAGTATATGTAATAGTTGGGTGGCTACATCTTGTTAAAAGCAATTCTGTGATTTTGTCGGAAAGTAATGGTGCTCCTCATCACTTTGCAAGTGGGCTTGCAGGGAGTGTTAGGATGCTAAACTGTTGCCCCAGTATGGGGGCGATGCATTGCCCCACTATGTTGCCTGATAACACCATACCCCATTTGAAAACACCGTCCATATTTTTAACACCATTTAGAATCAGTTCTATGAAAGATTTTTTTTTAGTGTTGCTGTTTCGTAATTTTCTTCATCCAGTGTGTTTCACCACACCCCCTCGCATGTGTAACCTCCATACTAAAGATGAAAATCTTATTTTCATCCTACTTCAGTGACATCATTCTTTTTCTTCATCTTTTTCTTAAAATCTTTTGTTTTTATTGTTTTATTTTACCATCTGTATGTTTTTGAGGTCATAGCATGTAACGTGACAAATTACGCATTCTGCAATATACACGTCCTAGTAGTCATTCTGGACATTGAAATGGATACTGTCTTATACTTTATTTAGCAACCCTGAATTCAAATACAGAACAAATTTAAAGTTAAAACTGGCAGCAAGCTAGCAGCCATTGTCCAAAACTGGAGCATTTTCAGAAAAAGTGACTTAAAGCAAATTACATCTTAAAAAAAGACTCTTCAAGAGTGCTTTAGTATAAGAACTTTCTACATTTAACTAAAGAATTGTTTGAAGACTAAACTATAGCGTAGGACAATGGTTCTAGTTTCTTGCTGAGAATCTATTTACAGAATAACCATTGCAGGATATGCCTATGATTTCAGAGAAAGCATGCAAAAAAAGAAATCTGTGTGCTGATAGATAATCAATAAGCACAAAAGTGACTGGGAGTGAGTTCTTTAGCAAAATTATGCAGCTTTCAGTTCTTGTGGAAACATTTTCAGGCATTTTGATTACCCAAATTATTTCAGATGAAAATCAGGATATATTAGAAAACAAGGCCATTGTGTATCATTTAATGCAGGGAAACATTGGATGGTTTATTGCTGTGCCAAATGATTAAAATATTAGATGTTGGTTTAAATTAGGTTAATTTTAGATTAGAACTTCTGTTTCTGTTTTTCTATTGTAAGTTGAAGCTTCCTTACTGGTATAGCTGAATTTTAAAATTTAGATCAGTTGTAGAAAACTCTTCAGGAAACTGTTTGAGGAGACTCGTGATGGGATGCAGACATTTTTGCCTCTGCTCTGGATCACAGTTTCAAATGCAGTAGGATGCTACTGAACAGAAATTGTTATGGTGTGTTTTGTTAATGGGTGAAGTAAATCTGTGGTTTCAGCTCAGTTACCAAAGGACAAATGTCCATATCACCAAACAACCAACACAATTAACTTCAATTGTTGTTTTGGAAGTCAGGCTACAGGCTATGGATGGAATAGACTTGGAACCTGCAGTAGCTCTTTTGGCTCCAACTCTCGCTTGTCATGCCATTCTTGCTCAGGGTATAGAAGATAGGCCTGATATGGATCTCACTTACACTGGTGCAACTCCATTGGTTTTCATAGGTTTAATTTTGTTCAGAATAAGGCCCTGAGATGCAGTTTCCAGAGCCTTCAATCCAGCTGCTTTCAACAAGGGCATCAAAATGAAATTTTGTGTGGAAGTCCTTCATCTGTTGAAATGCTGTATTGCTGCTTTCTACTGAAATGCTACATCAGTATTTTGAGCAAGTGCATGGAAATCAAGTCAATAAGCTGCACAAATTTTAAGAGTGATATAGTTTGAGAGATAATATATGTGCATTTATTGTTTTTGGCACCGAAAATATTAAAGGTAGGGTACCAGTATATTTCAAACATAAAAACCTGGGTGAGTAGTGAATTCTTTTGCTTTTAAGGATTTAGAATACTGGTATGTAGAGTTCAGCTGCAAAGTAGTTTTATTGTGGTATAAGTGATGAGTTGAGATGGGGCTTTACTGTTAAATTAAGAATGAAATTGATATCATTTCAGAATGAGAGGGAGTATTCTCAAAGTCAGAATATGATTCGGCATTAATTTGAGGTTTCATTCTGTGAACCTTTTTCTTATAGTCATCTGGTCCATGTATAAAGTAATAAATAAAATATTCTTTCTAAGAGACAATTATCTCAAATACTTCCTACATCCCCAAGCATTACGGTTATATGCCCCATCTGGACCCTTATTAGTTTTAAAACTTCAGAGACACTGCTTGCATGGGTTGGTTGTATAATTGGGGCTTTTGTCCCATGCCAAAACTCTAAGGAGTCTGGAAAACCACAATGTATTTTGAATCTGAATAGAGATCTGTGGATTATGTCTATCAGTAAATGTAGGTTTTTTGAGTAACTCAGGTTATGGCAAATTAATGTTTGTATGTAATCACATATATTGTTTTTGAAACAAAATCTTTCCTCAGGAGAGAGAACGAAGGTCGCCAGCATTTAACCTCCATATAACTACCTTCCCTGAAAACAATGGAAGTGCACTTCAACTGTTCTGTCAACAAGAAGGAATAAAGGTAGATGTGGCTTCATTAGCTCTCAAGATGATTGGATTATCCAGGAGCTCTATCAAAGTTTACCCAACACATGAATAAATTGCCCTGTCAAATGATGGTTGCTTTTAAACATACAGCAGTGATCCAGATGTGAAAATTTCTTTTTTCTCTGCAAAGAAAAATATAGGATGAAACTTGGAGAAAAGGATGAATAATTGGGGAAAGATGACTCCTGACAATGAGGTCTGCTAGACTTGTCTAGTATTTTCCTGAGGCTAATAACCTGAGTGGTTTAGGAGTTAGCCTGAATAAACTATAGAGAATACAATTGTATGAATGGTTAGCTATCATATGTTTTTCATGCTATTCTATATTTGTTCAATTTTGAATTACAGGTTCAATATTGAAGTGTAGTTAAGGTCAGGAAAAAGGATTGTAAATATAGCTCCCATCCATCACTTGTTCTGATCCCTTTTGTGTACTCAGGCCCCAGTCCAGCAGAGCACTTTGGTGGACTTCATTAAGTATGTGCTTAAGTAATGTAGTAATGAAGTGGGGCCTAGAAGCATAAGTGTCCTGGTCCTAAATCCATTGAAAGTACCATGGCCCTGCTAACTAGTTTTCATTGGCTTTGAATGAGGCCCAAGATAAGCATACTACACATATTGAAATAAAAATAAATAACTGGCATCTTACCTGCTTGCTTCAGTAAGAAAAATAAAATGTTGCTCTTTTTCAGTCTGAAGACTCAAAATCTCAAGGGGACCTCAAATTGGTTGCCATGCTAGCTTACCCAAGGTTAAGTTTAGAATATCTTCTTAAGAATGATGCATAACAGATCAAAAAGAAAATAAACTTTCTGACCACTGGTTCAGAGTGCACTGGAGGCAATTAGAGAAACATTATTTGTATTTGTGATCTGAATAAATTAGATGTAGGGGTCACTGAGAAATTATGGCCATAAAATTCAACTATGCGGTTTTCATTACTCTGGGTGCAACTAGTGCCATCAATTTGGTGTGTTTAACATACTATGGCATAATAACTTACATGCTTACTACCATAACCTTCCCTGAATGTTCTGTTACAGCAAAGGGCCTGTGGACATACCCAGAATAAAATGTCCTAATAAATAAAAGACCATCAGAAAGGACAGTTCACTGAATTTAGGTTAGATACATAGATTGATCGATATAGATCTCCCTCTCTGTCTGGGGATCTGTTGAGTTGTCTCCAGAATTAAGAATCTGACTCTTATCTGACACACTGCTGAAGAACACTAATTAATAGATTTCCTTCCCAAAACACTTTGCAGAGGATCCTGATTCTGCTTTTTAATGTCCTCCTTTGTAATCTAACGTGTGCATTGGCTGGAGCTCTTACATCTGCTATGATCATAGAATCATAGAAGATTAGGGTTGGAAGGGTCCTCAGGAGGTCATCTAGTCCAAACCTTGCTCAAAGCAGAACCATCCCCAATTATTTTATCCCAACCAAGGCTTTGTTTATCCAGTTCTTAAAAACCTCCAAGGATGGAGGTTCAACAACCACTCTGGGTAACCTGTTCCAGTGCTTTACTACCCTCCTCATAAGAAAGTTCTTCCTAATATCCAACCTAAACTTCCTTTGCTGCAACCTTTGATCATTGCTCCTTGTCTTGTCATCTGCCACCACTAAGAACAGTCTAGCTCTATCCTCTTTGGAACCTCTCTTCAGGTAGTTGAAGGCTGCTATTAAAACCCCTCTGAGTCTTCTCTTCTGTAGACTAAATAAGCCCATCTTCCTCAGTGTTTCCTCATAAGTCATGTCCCCCAGCCCTCCAACCATCTTCATTGCCTTCCACTGGATTCTCTCCAATGTATCCATCCTTTCTATAGTGGGGGGCTCAAAACTGGACACAGTACTCCAGATAGATCCAGGTTCCCAGCACAAAAAGTATTCTTTTTAAATAGATGTCGTAGAGTCCATCTTTCATCTTTTGTCACAAAAAAAAGCGTTTTGTATTTTTTTCTTGGGCTTTTTTTTTTCTTGGTACCTTTTTTAACTTCTATCCCAATTTACCAATCTGCAAAATGTATTTTTTACCTACCTCACAGGGATGTTGTGAGGCCCAATTGATTTATGATCCATGTGTTTTGAAATCTTTGGAAAATGGTTATTTGGTTGTAGTAAATTAAATATTGTATAGGTCTTAAAATGTGGTTTGATTCTTAATGTTCTCTTATGTTCAATGACAACTAAATGAAAATCAAGTATCTGGCCTGAAAATGCTCCATTATATTATATATATTTCTTTATTATTGTACTAGTGTCACATTTCCATAATAGTGACTGATTACTTACAAGTCTTATTTATTCAGTGTTAATAGAGATGATTCTAACCTGAAAATTCTGACCTCAAGATATGCTCACATGTCAGATCTGGAAAGTTTAAACCCAGTTTTGAAAATTGCAGAAAGAGCTGATTTCTAAATATTTTTACTTATAAAAAAAATAAAAAAATAAAAAAAATTGAATGCTAGCATGGACTGTCTGCCCAATAGATAAAGTACACACTTACTACCCTTCTAGTAAGAGGGGGAAAAACTGGATTGGAAAAAGAATGTCTTCTGTGTGGTGTGCTGATCTTATGCTGTTACTGTCGGGGAACCAAGTTAGATTCATATGTAATGAATGGCAGTTTTTTTCTTCTACGCTTGTATATTGCTGTAATGGAATTTCCATTTTTTTTAGCCTCGTGTACCCAAGCCTGTTTGCCAGAGTGTTGCAGTCTGTTAATGTATTTTGTAAGGCTAATGCAATAGCTAATTTGGCAAACAAATTGGCATCAAATTACTGGCTCCTTGCATGAGTGCATAGTAGACAGATACAAACCGGTATTTTTATATAGTAGAAGTAATGTCATAAGATAGTCCTGCAAAGGACTGGACACGTGACGTGCTGGCCACTATCAGCTATCACTGATGGCAGTGGGACTTGAGTGTGCTCAACACTTCACAAGATACTATTCATGGGCCTTTGAGGTCTGATCCTGCTCCTCTTACATCAGTGGCTGTTTCTTTGTTGATTTTGGAAAGACTAAGACTGGGTTTCTAATAGGGTTTGTTTGTATATTTATGTGTGTATCTTTAGGGGGAGACAGTTGGTGTGGGGTTCTTTTTTCTGTAAGGAGAAGAAGGACAAAATTAGACGCATGCAAATTTTTAAAAACTAATCAATAGTTCTAATTAGGAATCAATATCAACTTGCTGCTTAGGCTTCTGTGCTTACTACTGACTAGCAGGCAGTTCAGTCTGATGCAGCATTGCTCCCTGATCACAGTGCACAGCAGGCATTGCTCCTGCTGTTAGAGGGCTGATAGATTTATATTTTGTTTCCTAGATGACCCAGCTCATACTTTCTATAGTCTTCCTGTCAACTCTAGTGGCCCAATGTGCTAAACTTGACATCCTGGACTGAATCTGCCTCTAAGCCTGTTTCCCTAATTCAGCATTTCAGTTGTATTCATTAGTAAACTGATGAAAGTACATATGAAATGACACATGACTTCACATGTACCCATTGTTCTAGCTCTAAGTAAGGCCATGTGTATGGTAAACTTGTCATGCCAGGCATCCCCAGCCTCAAGCATGTTGTACTGTTGTAGTGGTTTATAAAAAGGTTACCACATCTGTATGGTACTGTGGGTAAACTAATCTGCACTACTGAGTGACAGAGCCAATTAAGCCAATAGAGCTAATAAGCCCACCCGCAGTGGTGTGCAGAAAACAGCTACTCTGCACACCTCTCCCTGAACTGTGAACACATCCACAGAATTGGTGTCCCTGTGGTATAAAACTGACATGTGGCTTTTGGTGACATTTTGCATGTAAAGTTACAGAAAAGTCATGAAAAGATATGAATACTGAAGGTTGTTTCCCCCCTTTCCTTTATGAACAATGAGTATTGAAAATCTTTTCTAGGATGTGAATATTTCTGAACTTATGAAGAAGCTAGATATTCTTGGAGATAATGGGGTAACACATTTTTTTATTTCAAATATATTTCTGGTTTTGTGTGTGTGTGTTTGTTCTGAAGTTGTTTTTTTTCTCCATGCCAGTAAATGCATTAGGGCATTTCTGAATGACTGAATTTGCATATTCATTGGCAAATGACAGGGACAGTTGTTACCAGCATAGGTGCAGATTCCTTGCATTTTTTCAAAATATAATTGGGCCCCTACTGAGTGGCATTTAAATACATTTTTTTAGGGACTTCAGGGGACAGGATATAAGACAGAAGAACGAAGTCAAAGCTATATATTTTTGCAGTGCCTCTCAGATGTAAACTTGGGAGCTTACAAAGTACAATGAGAGCTGGTTTATGAGAGGCATATGTTAGGAAAGCTTGAGTCTAGTCTGTAAGGTGTGAAGGTTGATTTAGACAAGAGTTTCAGATCATAGATTAAACTGTGAAATCCAAAATAATATTTATGGGAACCCTTTTATTCTGTGAGTAGTCTTCATTAATAAAAGGCCCAATTCTGCAATAGATTCCTTGCATTAGGGCTACTCTGCAGTGAAATGCCATTTCTCCCATTTAAAAAAAATCACTAGATTGTATCCACTTTGTTTTCATGTAACTCTTCCATTGAAAAGCCATAATGGGAATGATGTACTGAACTTAAGTGACTAGGGACTGTATCTACTTTACTTGAGCTTAATTTTTAATCATTGGATCTTTTCTGTTCTTGTTTTTTAAATAATCAGGCACCTGATATACTTTGATAGATACAGGGTACTCAAAATCCATCACACCTGTTTTGAGGAATGGATTTACAATCCAGTGTAAAATGCAATTGCACCTTTTTTCTGTTTTAGAATTTGAGAAACGAAGAACAGGTTGCAATTATCCAAGCTGGGACTGTACTTTCCCTCTGTGAAAAGGTAGACTTCACTAAAACTTTTTGTCTGCACAAAACCAGAGCACACCAATCAGAAATTTGTATGATGATTTATCAGAGAAGAGTGGCCTTTCTGTTAAATTCACATGGATTTGAGCATGTGTTCATTATAACCTGTCCTCACTGGAGCTATGCATGTGGAGGGCTGTGACATACAATTAAGCATACTAAAAAATCTGGAGGAAAGTATCATCTTTGGGATGTGCCAGCATCTTCCACTCCCACAAACCCCTCTGAGAAAAGAGCCTAGAACCTCACAAGAGGCTGCCCACTGCTTTGCATGATTGATATTATGGTAATTCTTTCTGTGAGGTGCTGAAGTCGAGAAGTGGTGAGCTGAGTACTGTCCTCTTCTACGGGAGTTAGTGGGGAAAAGAGGATAATCAGCACAGTGCGGGAAGCTTGCTGCACTCCTTTTTCCCATATGTTATATTGCATGAGAAACAAAGATTTTAATTTTGGGGGGGAAAAAGGCTCTTAATCTCTTTCCCCTGCTTAAACCGCTAAAAATGTCTCAAAAAAGCCAAATAAAACAAACAAACACCCTACCTTTTTGTTTCCTGCTACTTACTTTACCTGAATATACTGTTAACGAGAAATTCAGTATCACTTTAACAAGCATGGCATTTTACTGTTTTCTCACAAATTCAAATGTCCTCATCCTTTATCTCCTTAGTGCCACATGGGGAAAATCTAAATAGCAAAACGTGATTCAGTGTTTCTGTTGTTAAGGTTTGGTCCCCTCTTGAGACTTCATTGAGCAAGTAGGGCACTGCTGAGGTGTCCAACTGCTGTATATTAAGGGAAGCAGCTTCTGAGCTCCGTACTGAAGGGTGATTAGGTTTCACGCTAAACCTAAATCCAGAACTGTATGCCTGGCACATTTCATTGTCATCAGACCTAAAAAAACATAGTCAGCTGGTTTCAGAAAATAACCACTCCAATTACCCGTAGTTTTTAAGACCAAAATGTGTCAATCAGAGAACAGACATGTAGCCGTCTGTTTTTCAAATAATATTTTTAGTATCCAAACTGAGAATTATTGGTTTAAAAAAAAAAAAAAAAAGCATCACGGTTGCACACATTGCTGAGTTAGCTTGCTATTTAAATGATCTGTCTTTGCTAATTCTCCATGCCATTCAGCAGTGGATCTGTAATTGACCAGAATGTATAATTATGATTGTCTAACACATGTTAGTCAAAGGAGTAAGGAGTAGTTTAGGAGGGTAAAACTTCCATTTGGTAAATGTGATATTTAGTTCAATATTTAATTTTTAAGAAGTATTTTTCACTGGACAGATTATTAGACAGATTACTCTTTTCTGTGCAACTGGAACTAGCTTTCTACTTCCATCATTAATAGGGGCAAATAATGACTCTGAAAATAAACCAGAAAGGAAAGTATTTTCCCCAGTAAGCCTTCTATTTAAAAAGTTGATATTAAAAGATGGATCTACAACATCAAAACTCCATTGGTCTTGTTAAATAGTTGATAATGACTAGCAAACAATGATTGGTTGATGATTCAGCTAAGTTATTGGTTGGTGTACACTAGGGCTATGCAAAATTTCAGCAGCCATTTCATTTTGGAGGTGTTTTGGGCTGTTTCAGCATCCAAAACACCGAATCTGAATCAAAACAGAAGGCTCAGAAACATCTTTGAATCAAAACAAGATATCCAAAAAGTTTCGAAATTGTTTTGGAGATGTTTTGAAAAATTTCAGAGTTTCGGAGCCAGGGTTGCAAGGAAATAATTGTATGCTGCTGCCTGCCACGCGACTTGACTCTGCAGGGAGCAGAGATGTGTTCTGGGGGTCTCCTTGCTGCCGCTGCCCACCCCCTGCTGCCTTGATGACACGGAGGCGGTGAGGAGACCCCAACGTGGATCTCTGCTCCCTGCAGAGCCAGGTCGTGTTGCAGGGCAGTGCTGGTATCTGCCATGCAACCTGGCTCCACAGGGAGCAGAGATCCAGAGCAGCACAGGGCAGACAGCAGCAGCTAGGAGACCCCAGTGTGGATCTCTGCTTTCTTCGAAGCCAGGTCACGCGGCAGGGCATTGCTGGTGTCTGATTTGTGACCTGGCTCCACACAGAGCAGAGATCCGGGGCTGCATGGGGTGGGTAGCGGTGACGAGGAGACCCGCAGTGTAGATCTCTGCTACCTGAGGAGCCAGGTCTCACAGCAGGGCAGTGCTGGTCCCTGCCATGTGACTTGGCTCTGCAGGGATCAGAGATCTGTGGAGGGTCTCCTCACCTGCACAGAGGGCAGCAGCCCTCCCCCCAGACGAGCCACCCCCAGCCCTGACCTGCTCCCTGCTGGAGCCCTGCAGCCCTGCTTGGCTGGGCTCAAAACAGATTTGGAGGAGATTTGGTGGAAACAAAACAGGACAGTGATCCAAAACATCAAAATGAATTGCTGTTCTCCAAAATGGCTGAATCCAAAACTGAATTGAAACACAGCCGTTTCGCATAGCCCTAGTGTACACCAAATGAAACTAGGAGAACACTAAAACCTATTGTCAGTGTAGTGTAAGAGAAGAGGTGAGAATTGCAGACTTTAAAATATTAGGAGAAAACACAAACGATTAGGCTAGATGGGGATCTGAGTATTCTTTTCCTTAGGCTAACGTTGCACAAACTCTGGACTGTGCTACCCTTACTTAAGCTGGTTAGTTCTTGTGTGAGCAGGTGCATTGAAAAGGATGGGACTGTTGTTGAGAGTCAGGCTTGCACAGTTCAGGAAATCACATCACTTGATGGTCACAGTCTAAGAAAAAATGAGTTTGTCAGTTCTTCATAACAAGAAGAAATTATAAAATGATCTTCAATCTTTAAAAAGCAAAAATATTTTATAAATCCACCCCAATAATCATTTTAATTATCTCACAGGAATTCTTATTGCTAGCATTTCTGTTGGTCCTGAGCTGATTAAAGAATGACTTACTTGTTTGTCTTACTACTTACCCAGCTTGTTCAAAAAGACAGAATCTTTAATTTTATCCTCTGTTGTCAATACGTTTGTTTTTAAAACTAGAGTAAAGTGTAAACAGTCTATATAATTTTAATGCCATTGTAGTGTAGTTGTCTCACAAGCCTGTACTGAATAAAACCCAATGATAAATTTTATCCGCATAGTACCTGTAGGAGGCAGGAAAATGTTATTCTTGTATACCTGCTGGGGAGTTGAGGCACAGACGATTGAAATCACTTGCTCAAGGTCACACATGATATCTGTGCCTACACTGGTAACTGAGCATAGGTCTCAGGTGACCTAGCCTAGTGTCCTACCCACTAAGCCGTCCTGTCTACTCATGAAAACAGTGATTTATTCACTGATTGTTCTGGGTTCTTTTATAAATATATCTGTAAATGTATGATTATTAATTATACATTATCATTTCTTACTGTGGGAAGCATATTGCAATTACTAATGTTTTAAGAAGCCTTCAACGAACTATTCACAATTTCAGCCTCCAGTTTCCCCTATTCACTTTACTTTTGCTACGACTTCCTTGTGTTGGTAGACTGTATGGGTTGGTTACCACCGCCAACCAGTAGTCTACTGGGATGATACAGATGATATACATCAATTAAGCTCATACAGGAAATGAGGAATTAAGAGTTCTGAGTTTCCCTGTGTACTGTTTTAAAGTGAATTAAAAGCTCTTCACTCACCAAGACCGAATCTAGGGTTTTATTTCTCCTGGAACACTCAATATTGCTAGCTCTTAAATAGACAGGAGGTTGCCTATTGCTGTTGTACTGTTAATGAAGGTCAAAGCTGTGCTGTAATTAATGCTTTAAGTGCTACTGATGTCAGGGAAAATGTAGAATTCTGAATTTAAGTCTTAATGTCTTAGGAAGGAAATTACTTTCATTCTTTTTAAAACTAATAGCATTTTCAGAAATGCGTATATGCATGTGTGTGTGCGCCTTGCTGGTTCAGGTACAAGATGAACCCCCTAAATGCCTGCTGTCAGTACTGTTTTGTTGCAAGCAACATGAGTGACCTTGAGCAACATGTAACATGTCTACTCCTCAGCTTCCTCTTCTGTAAAAGAAGGAACAATAACACTTCCCAGCCTCCTGGAAATGTAACACGGCTAAGTTCATTATTATGAATCACTCAGAGATACTCTATACAGCCTGACTGTATTAGTGCTTAGAGATCTGCTAATGGAAGGATTTACTGATGTCCACAGCATATTGAGATGAGGCATAACAAACGAGGAATCATCTTTGCTGCATGAGGAAATGACTGTAAACACAGCATGGTGCTGCACATTGTTATGACACCTTCTGCTATGTATTAATTCCAGGGATCCCAAATTAAAAGCTGTAAGTCCCAGGCAAATAAGAACCCCTATGGAAATAGGGTTCAGATGAGAGAATTGATTTAACATAACCCCAGTAGGAATCACAGGCCAATTTTTTGCTTGCAGTTCCATCAGTTCAAGGCAATTCCACTGGTTTCCTCAGTAGACCTTCTCTTCGTTTTTACAAAATACAAATATTTTATTCATTGAGTCATGTAAAAATGTCCAATGTGACCCAAAATAGAAGCTGGCCCTGTAACTAAGTACCCATTTAGCTCCTGTATATTTCTGGTATCCATTGTGATAGAATGATCCTTAATCAAAATAAGCCATCACAACTTTGCCTTATAATAAGATCCTTCTGTAAAATGCTGGAACCACTTACATATCCTCAGCATCATCAATACACTTGCACACACTTCTACGTAGTCCATATAATTATGTTCCATTTTTATTCATGTCAAACATTGCTTTTAGTACTCTGCCTTGCATAGATATGAGCCTTCTGGAAATAAGTCTGTTAAATAAAGGAATGTGTCTTCATGTAAACAACATATTGGTGTAATTCTAGCTAATGTTGCATTACTTCACAGCAATGTAGCTTTAATGCAGGAAGGTTATAGCTGAATATGACCCCATGAATTATATCAATTGCTCTTTTTTTCTCTTCAAACGTATGTTGAATCTTAGCAATTCCTCCTTCAAAATTAGACCGGTACAGCATAAGGATGACACAAGTGGCTGATTCTGATCTAAAAATTTCAGGCCAAGCTCTGAGGTGTTCAGCACCTTCTCCCATTGGATTTAGTGAGATCATGAGGATACTTGGTATCTTGCAAAGTCCTTTGGCAGGAATAGGCCATATCCAGAGGAGCGTGGACGTTTGGTTCTCCGGAGACAAGTAGCAGCAGTGCACCTTGCACTTCAGCTACTTATCCCCAGGGAACACCCATGCCATGCACACTTTGGTGTGCGGCAAGTTACCCCAGGTTTGGTTGGGGAGGCTGGGGGCAGCACTGGACTGGCCCCAGCAGCCTTATCTGGGCTCTGGGGGCCTCCCGGGACTGCAGAGGTAGCAATGCTGCTGCACAGAGCCTCGCTGTCAACTAGAGCATAGCTCTACTTTTGAGTAGAGTGCGTTTCCTGTGTATGCGCCGCTCCAAAATTTTTTTTTTTTTTTTGCAGGTTTTTTTTAAACCCCTGGATATCCATGGGTCAATAAAAGCCTCAGGAAAAAAAGGTGGAGCAGCGCATGCATGGGCAGCACTCCCTTGCAGTGCAGAGACCATCTAAATGTGTGGTATGTGGCACCACAGATGTGTTTGTGGCGCCACATACTGCACGGCCACGCTCATCTGGATGCAGCCATTAAGTGTGAACTTGAGCTGAAATTCTCTGAATAGCAGCATCAAACTGGCATTGACCAGTTTTCCAAGGGTGATATTCACTGAAGGCCTTCAGGATAACAAAAAGGCCTGCAGTGCAGCAAACTTGCTGCCATGTGGAGAGATGGGTGAAATAGGTGCATGGTGGCAGCAGAGGGCATAATCTATTGGGGAGAGAATCATTAGGGGCAGGCCAATGGAAGAGGTACAGGTACCTAGTTAATGATTGCATGGGTGCATAGACGTGCATAGGAAATGGTGGCCTTGTTTGAGCTAAGGGCTGGAGTAGCAGCTGGAGAGAGGTTGTAATACTCTGCCTTCAGTCAAAAGGCTGTTCGTAATACGTGTATAATGACCTGATTTGCATGAGTTCCCTATACAGAACCCTTTCACTTGGGTGATTCTTGAAGGTGTATGATGGGAAGGTGATCTCTTTCACACAATATGCCTTTTCCTTAGTTTAATCTGTCATCTCCATTATTTTAGAGAAAGGTGCAAAGATTACAGCTGGAACAGTGTCTCTTGGGAAATGAAATGTTCCTTGTCACTTGCTTAGAATCTGTGCTAAAATGTAAACCTAGGAAGTAGGTAGAATAAGCTTCCATTTTCATTTATCATTCTCTGAAACAATAAATGACCAGATGAATATAATTGAGGAGTGAATTTGTGTATTACCGTCTCTTATTAAAAGAATGTATTGTAACTAATTTAAAAGAGAATTTGCTTTCTTAAACTCCTAAATCTAATCTGAATCATTGCCTGGAATTTATCAATTCTGGCTTGCGGTCACTGAAAAAAATCATCATGAGAACCCCACGTAACTTATAAAAAATTAAATACAAAAAAAATAGGTTGCATGTTGGTCCATTAGGTTGAACCTCAAATCTCACCAGACACCAATCAATAGACTTATACAGTAATTAACAAAGAATTCTAATTTCCCCAGAATGCTTTTACTCTATATTCTAGGGGTCCAACCTGACTGCCAGGGAGATGAAGCTCCTTGTGATCTAAGTGGGCGCAAGCTCTACATAAATTAATAACCACTTACCTACACTGTGTTCTGTAAACCAGTAAAAATTAAATAAATACATTAAATAAAGCCATGAATGAGAATTTCCACCTCTTCTGATGCACTAAAAGACCATGAATATTCACTGCCTTTAACCGTCATTAATATTTAACAAGCAAGATCTGTGTGTTCCACAGTTTTAGCTTCTACCATAACAATTTTACACTTGGAATGCAATGCCCATTCTTCTATGCCTTTTTATAATACTTTTAGATATAATAAAAAAGTTATTGATAGGATGATTGATCTTTTGACCTGCATGAATTTTCTCATACAGTTTTGCCTACCCATCTTAAACTTTACCTTTTGGCAGCCCTCACCCCCTCATGTAGCTACTGTTACTTATGTGAATAAAGGACAAGTTGTTCCATTGGTTTCAATACCATGAGCAAGGACTGCCAGAGTTGGGCCCTAAGAGCAAGACTTTTGTGTTGCAGACAATGTGTGTGGGGAACACTAGGGTTGAAACCATCAGACTAATTTTGCAGTTTTGACCCAAGTTCGATCTAAATGTAGATCTTTAGAGGGGAGCAAATTAATCCACTGCATTACAGCTACCTCCGTTCACAATTAACCTTTATTAATTCCCAGTGGCTGCCTTACTCATTCATTGATAGCTTGAAAAAGTTGAACAGTTAATGGGGTGGGGGGAGGGGTGAAGCATGCAACTGGGAGTGTCCTCAGCAAATTAACTTACAAAATTATTAATAAAGCTCCTCCAAAAGCTGTATTTTCACCTTTCTGTATTCCTCTCATTACTGCCATGTTCATATAGTGGTTAAAACAGATCGAAGGAATGGAAGCTGCCCTGACACAGAAGATGATAGACCTGGAGAATGAAAAGGTAAGAAACAATGATTAAAACGTCAGAACCAAGTGTATAAATGTGTGCGCATGATCTGTAGTTGTCTCTTTCTGCTTAGTGGGGATGGCCTCTTGAAACTGTCAGCTGCAGATTGCTAAACCCCCATTTAAGAGCTAGTGCCTTTAAAGTTGAGGGCAGAGACCAACTAACTAGATAAATGTTGATAACCAGCAGCTATACCTGCAAAATACTACACACAAGGCACATTTTACAGGGTATAATAACTAAATGGTGCAAAACGTGTTTGTGTGCTTCCTATGTGTATTATTTTGTCTGGCAGCAGCAAGATCTTTTCAGTTTTGGGATCAGAGTTCATTCAAATTGCAAGAGGGATTAATTTGGACTCTGGTTTGTATTTCCTTTCACATGAGACCATCCTCCTCCTCCTCCTTCAGGTTACCCCTCTCACTTCAACTTCTTGTTCCCCTCAGAGATGGAATGCCTTCTCAGGTGCAATTCTGGCTTGAATACCAAACTCAATATGACAATAAGCTGTACTTTTGCTGTATGTCATATGAAGTGAGGTTTTTTCCAATGAACATGTAGCTTTGTTGATTTTTTATTATGCATGTAGTACATTGTCAAATCCATTTTACCATCTCCAAATTGTTTTCAAAACACCAAATGATTCTTGAAATACCTTTTCCAAATAGATAAGTAAGCAAGCAACATTATCTCCATATTACAGAAAAGGAAACTGAGGCAGAGAGGTTAAGTGTCTTGCCCATGGCCATAGGGGAGCTCTGTGTCAGTGAAAAAATTAAAACTCTGCTTCCTTGGTGCTCAGGCTCCTCACCTTTGAGGATGTGGCATGATACCAGTTTTATCATCTAAAGCAAGGTGTAACTCCTGTTATGCATCTGACAGAATTTTTTTATGTATAACTTTAAGTTTGGGAAAACATAACTATAATGTGTTTTTGGAGAAAAATATGATCAAGACATATTTGGAAAATACATCTTTCTAACTTTAAGAATATTGGTGATGCCTAGAAATCTTGTTCTCTAAGCAATTGTATTTATTTGCGAAGCCCAGCAATCTGGCAGCCTCCATGGAACACTTGCCCCTTGCCATGTGGAAATTATTTAATTAATTTGAAAAGAATAATTTAGGGCGGAATTTTCAAAGGTTCTCAGTGCCAGCTTAACTAGTTAGAGCAAGGTTATATCATGTTAAATGTGGTTGAAAACCTTATCCTTAAATCATGATTTCTGTCTTTTGTGTACCTTGTGGCTGCTTTTTTAAGTAATACCTTGAAAAATAGCATGACCCAATGGTTAGAACCATAGTTTAGAACTGATGTCAGGCTCTGCCTTTGGCTTCCTGCAAAGGTTTCAACAAGTCTCTCCATGTCCCTGTGCCTTTCTTATATGTTGTTCTATGCATGTAAGATGTAAGTATGTTAAGGCACAGACTGTCCCTTGCACGGTACACACTGCACAGAATTTTGTAGAGAACCCAGCATAGTACAAATGATAGTAAAAAAAAAAAAAATAAATTGAAAAAGCAGATGGAAATTGGTTTAGTCTCCTCTAGTGTGGAGACCAATGGCTTGAAGTTGCAGAAAAATAGGTTTAGATTGGTATCAGGAAGAACTGCTTCACTGTTAATGCAGTGAGGCAGTAGACTAGACTGCCTAGGGAAGTTGGGGAATCTCCATCACTGGAAGCATTCAAGAGGTTAGATAGGCATTAACCAGGGATGATTTAGCAGTTATAGTTATGCCTATGCTCTACTGTGGGTACTTCCCATGCTTCTGGACTTTGCTAGTTGCCCCGTGGAGCTGGGAGATAGAAGAGAGCCTAAGACGGGGGTGGGCAAAATATGGCCCAGGGGCCGGATCCAGCCTGCCAGGCCATTCTATCCAGCCCATGGAGCCACTAAAAAAATTAGAAAATTAATATTTATTTGCTCCTAGCTGCCTGTCAAAGATGACAGGAGCCAGGGGCAGTAGGACCCAGGGGAGGCCAGTGTCAGGACCCAGCAGCAAGGCCTGCCCAGCCCTGCCCCCCCCGCAACCAGAAACCCCTGCCTAGCAGAGGTTTCTGGTCTGGGATCATGGGGCTATTCCTGCTTCCCTGTGCCAGAGCGGGAAACGCAGCTCTCCACAGCTTGCCAAAACTCGGTAAGTGGCCCTTCACCCAAAATAATGGCCCACCCCTGGTCTAAGAGATCCTGGGATCTCTTAGGTTTATTTAAATAATCTTGTAAGAGCAACAGGACATTGGCCACCATGGCCTCCCTGTTTTACCTGTAGGAGGTTAGGAGTTATGTCTTTGGTTTTGTCAGGGCTGACTCTGTAGTTTTTGCTAAGAGGTTAGACAATGGATGGATTGGATAGGGATGATGGTGCCTCATGCAGAGATTGGACTAGGCGACCTCTGGAGGTCCCTTCCAGCCCTACTTCTCTATGTTCTGTACTGTCATAGTCACAAAGGATGGTTTGTTTTTAATAGGGACATGCATTATTATAATTCCTTCTGGTGCTTAAACCCTCTTCAGACTGTCAAGTTGCTGGGCTAGGCAGATTTGTTTTAAGCCAAAAAAAAATTAAAATTAAATTGAAATTTATTCATAATTGCTGTTGATTGGCTAAATTCTATTCCTGTGTTTATGAGCATAAAATCCCAGAAATGTTATTGGGAACTGCATGTGCATCTCTGAGGCAAAATTCAGTCCAGCAATTGCAAGTAAAATTTGAAGTCAACCTGAATTACCTTTCTTCATTCAGCAATTTGTGAGCAACACAATGCTAGGGTATGTTTGGGAGTGGTTCTAATGCTACACTACAGCATCCATACTAGCCCATAGGCACATATTTTAATGAAGCATAAAATGAATAATTCTGTCTCATAGAATTATATTTAAATGCTTTTTACTTCAAATATTGAGGAAACAAAAAAGTTTATATTTGAACAAAGATGACACCTATAAATTGTAAATCAGACCAAATACCCTTTCTGCTTTCTGGACTACTGGTTTGTGAGCATAACAAAATATCTTGAATGGAAAAAAAGTTGGGCTATATTGTTTATCTGGTATGATGTGCTCGTTACATTTATACTTGTTAAAAATTTCAGAGTCCTTTCTCAGTGTAGTGACCAAATTCTAGCCCACAGAATACCTATAGATTTCTATTCTTTTTGGATGTCGAGTTCTACAAAATCCAATTTGTTTCAGTGACAGTTGCAATGATCCCTCATTAATACACAAGCAGCCAATAAACAACTGTGTGCAGTTCTTCAGAAACAAAGGTGCTACAGCAAAGTACAGTGAAAGGTCTATTGCCAGCTTCTGCAACTATTTGGGTAACGTCACTTAACCTTGCTGGGCTTCAGCCTCCCCATCTTCTTTGAAGGGCTCCTGCAAAGCTTAGAGCCAAATCTCCCTTCTGCCAAGGAAATGTACCTGAGAACTGGTGAGCACAGAGACCCTTTCTACCCTTTGCTAGCAATGAGACAGGATCTGTATCTTGCTTTGAGATGGGATCATGTACTCCACATTAGCTACTGCTTTCTCTTACACCTCTCCCACACAGTAGAGAGAGGTTTTGCTGCCTAAAGGACATGCCAGCCAGTAGACAGATTAAAGACTACAGCCTGACCTGTTTTAAGGCACATGTGCACTCAGCATCATGATTTGTGCCTTGTGCAGGTAATGTTTCTCATAATACACACACAACAGATATGTTTCACCTTTGTCCTCAGCCTTTGTGTGTACCTCCCTTGGGTAAAGGCAGGAATTTTCCCTTAAGTTTTGTGCAGCTTTAGAGATCATCAAAGATGTGTGAGATATGAAGATTAAAAAAAAATACATTAAAACTACTATTAATAATTCTAATGATTCAATTATTCTAACAATATATATGATCCTTGGCTTAAGATTCTCTGTTACTTTCATATTTAAGTGACTGAAAGCTCATATACAGAAGTGGTTAACATTATGATACTTTATGAGTTAGGATAAAAAACAAACCTTCCCTTATTTTTATTATTGCTCAGGACCTGTTCAGTAAACAGAAGGGTTATTTAGAGGAAGAACTCGACTACAGGAAACAAGCTCTGGACCAGGCTTACATGGTAGGAAAAGAACTATCATTAAATGTTCGCACTTGATCAGATTTCATAAAATAATTTAAAAAATGAACCTGGGTATTATCCTGCTAGATTAGGAAACCAAACATCATTTCAATGGAGTCAGATGGCATAGGAAATGAATTTAAAAGATAAGAATGGTCATCTTTTTGCACTGTAGTTTACTCCAAGATTGGTGGTAGAACTGTGGTTCCAGGAGCTGGGATAAGTGTGTGCAAAATTATTATGAGCTAAATATTCAGAAAATGTCTTTGGATTTTTTTTCAAGTGTTTTTTTCCAGCTATTTTATAAATACTTTCTGCTAACTGGTATCCAAAGTCATAAATATCTATTTCTTTCATGCTCCCTTCACTACACTATCCTCTTAGCCCTATTAAATAAAGATACAGGCTTGTTCCTTTTCTGACTGAGTGACAAATAAGGGAAATGCTCTGAATTATCTAGGCAGTAGCAAAATAGTATATCCAGCTTTTTAAGAATAATGAGATCTAAGGAAATGGCAGTAGTATGGCATTAAGGATTGTTTATGACTGTAAATACTTCAAACTGAAAAAAGATCACCAGGTTTTATAGTAGGTTATAGAGGATTCTCTTTCTAGTATCAGGACTATGGGCAAGCTATTTAACCTCTCTGTGCTACAGCTCACTCACCAGTAATACAACAGAGTTACCAACCACACAAAGGTGCTGTGAAGTTTAAAGGGATGCGGTCATGTAGTTTAGATCCAAATACTGTTGTTCTTTTCTGTTGTTCTTTTAAAATAAGGTCATATAAAACCTAATAGATGAATATCATAAGGATTTCTTTCTGTTTTATGTAGTCAGCAAAGTTTTCTGTTTTGGTTTATGTATTCCCTGTACTTTTTGCCTTGGAAATATTGCCTTGTTTGACATATACATGAGATTCTTAAAGTACAATTGGCTAGAAACTAACCAGAAACAAAGAGTATGATGGGTGATTATCTTCCCACACACATCCCTCAAGTACATGAGCATTTTTCTCTTCACTCTATGAAATGTCTGATTCTCTGCTTTTGCCTTTGATCCCCTTTCCAAGAGTCTATTTTGTTGCTTATGGGCACTCGAACAAAATGGAGTGAGGAAAACCTTGAGTAACAGCAGACTAGGATTGTAGGGTCAAGAGAGAGAAAGGCGTGGCAAGCTTTTTCTTGCCATGTGCAGTATGTTTGTGTGCAGATATTGCTTTTCATACTTTTCAAACGCTATGTATTGATTTAACAATCCAGCTGAAGGGAACCTCTTGGTTCCTTATAGCTCAGTCTTTTCAGTGGGGCTTGTCATGAACTGATCTAGAATTTGGCCTCTGGAAATACGCAGAATCTTGTTTTCCTTAGCATGCATTATGAACTCTGGTTAAATCTAAGAACCATTCATTCAACAGACTGCAACACCACGCCTGCCGTGTTAAGTCTCATGAGGTTGTGTGCACTGTGTATGGAATGCTCTTCACTGCTCACATGGTTGCTGCTTTTCTGCTGCCTAGTTGTGCCCATCCTCCGTTCTTTCCTTTTAGGCTTTGCTCACTGGCATTGTTTGTTGTGGTGTTGGGGATGTTTGCTTGCTGTACTCACATGTCAGCCTGTTTGTATGTGATTTGGGTTGCATTAGAGAATCCAGGAGCTGGAAGCCACGTTGTATAACACTCTGCAGCAGGATCCAGGAAGGCGGGCAAATGAGTCTCTGAATGAAGTGCAGAGGGAGGATTTGCGAGCTGCGGTGGAGAAGGTGCGGAGGCAGATCCTGAGGCAGAGCCGCGAGTTTGATAGCCAGATCTTGCATGAGCGAATGGAGCTGCTGCAGCAGGCACAGCAGGTAACTCACCCCTCATCCCTCCATCTCAGTGTTTCCACTGTTGTTGCCATTGTTGCCAGTACAACAGCACTTACTTCACTGTCACCTTGCTAACTTATGCCTAGTCTTGGTACATATTATTTGCATTGCTGTTACACCAAAAAGGCAAATCAAGATTTGGGCCCCACTTTTGTTGGGCACTGTATGCACATAAAATAAAACAGTCACCACGCTGCAGAAATAATAGTTTATGTCCACATCCTGCAACTTGTTCCCTATGAGCAGAAATACACTGGTTTCAATGGAGCTCTGCGTAGGCAGAGGGGGTTTACAGGTGCAAGTCTGAAAAGGGGCAAGATAAGGTCAGAGGAACTCAGTGTCTCTAGTGTGAGTTAAGCATGGTGTGGAGTACAGAGTGATGGCTTTAAAAATAAAAAATGAAGATTGGACAATTGCCAATCCTGAACAGGCAGGCCACTTGGCTAGTCCAGTGTATTTGCCTCCTGATTCAATTAGGAAAGTCCCCAGAGCCAAGACATTTTTAATATACTTTTCTAGGCATATTTGGGGAACTTGGGAGGTGGGCATGCTCCTGTCACAGCTAAGTATGGTCTTGCACTTATTTCCACGAGAAAGCCCCACGGTGGAATAGTTGAGGAAAGAGGCTAAGTCTGTTCCTCTGTTTTTAAGCATCGTAGAAGAATACTTAAAAAATGGAAGTATGTTTCCTCTTTAATCATTTTTGGAAAGCACAGACAAATGTCCAAGACTTCTGAAGCCAACGTATTCGGGTAATTGTAGCTGTGCAGATCTTGAACAGCCAAACCTCAGTTTCTAGCTGAGTTCATAACCAGTGTGCAAGTCTGTCCACAGTAAGGCTCTTGTCACTTTTTTAGGTTAATATTGATCTCTCTGATGCTGGTTTTCAAGGATAAGGGGATAGCTATAGTTTAGTTCAGATTGCCTTCCATTCTGATTAAATATGCAGGTTAGTGCTGAGAAGCAGCTATGTCAGCTTCACTCACCCAGCATCCTTGTCTGTGACTTCCATGGTACCAGGTTTAACCATTCTAAAAGCTAATATGCATATACTCAGGCTGTCTGTAGTCTTAAAGCAGTGGTGGATTCACCAAAAAACAGGAAGTTCTCTATAGTATTAGGTTTTGTAGCGTTATGTGTAACATAGACTGTTACGGGGAGGGGGGTGTCTATAGTAAGCCTGTGTGAAAAGGCTAGTATTCGCTTCTGACTTGATTGATTAGGGGGACAGTGATTTCGATTTGGTGATTTGAATCACTGCCCCAAATCGATTCAGCTGAATCTGATTCAGAGATTCAGCCACCGCTGCATCAGCCAAACCTCTGAGTCAAACAGGCCCCATCCCCTGCCCACTCTCCCAGCCCCAGCTCTTTAAAGAAAAAAAAAGAAAAGAAAAGCCTCATGGTGACTGACTGCCATGCAGGGGGCAATCCCCACTGCACCCCTCTGCCCTGTGCTGCAAGGGGGGGGGGCTGCATGGGGGGCTCTGCCATGAGCCCCCAGAAGCCCTGACAGCCACTGCAGCAGCCGGTGAGTGCGGTGCTTTTTGGTTTTTGTTTTTTTAAAGAACCAGGAGCTGGGGCTGGTTGGAGCAGCTATTGATAGGATTGGGAGAGTGAGTGGGGGCTGAGCCCCCCCGTGTACCACAGGGCAGTAGGGGACAGCGGGCATTGCCCCCCCTGTCTGGCAGCAGCCAGTGAGTGTGGGGCTTTTCTTTTTTTCTTTTTCTTTTTAAAGAGCTGGGGCTGGGCGGGGCAGCCATTGACAGGGCTGAGAGCGTGGACAGGGGTTAGGGGTAATTAGGGGGGTTGGGGGAGCAGGCAGGGGATGGGGCCTGGTGGGGATCCCCCCCACGGTCCTCTCCCCCCTCCTCTAGCCCCCTTTGCCCCCTACTTACTGGCATGAAGTCTGAGTCCAGCTCCTTGTGGTGTCAAGTGGGGACTCCAAATTCAGATTCAGAGATTTGGCCACTGAATTGGGCCGGACCTCCTCCAAATTGAATCAGCACCTGAAGCTTTGCACAGTGTTTAGGTCCTCTAGTATCCCATAGTACTCTGCTCTTTTCCCTCCCGCCTTAATGGGAATGGAGGGAGAGCAGCTGGCTGCCTGTCACAGAAATGCTGCTACTCCAGAGCAGGTGTCCTCACCCTTGCTACCCACAGGAGTGGTGGTGGGGCTCTTTGATAGATGCTGGTCTGGGTTCTGGAACATCAGCTTCAGAGATAGCTTGCCCTTTCCACTGTTGGGAACAGCAGTAGTTGTCAAACAGCCTCTGAATGCCAGCAAGGGAGAAGTCGGGTGGTCAATAGTTAGGCTACTGACAGACTTCCCTAGAGGTGGGGAAGCAAAGGAGCAAGCCCTTTTTTGTTCCCAGGCTGGAGCGTGTGCTTTTATAGCAGGCAAACTAGGAGATGCATATCTGCGCTGCCTCATAGCGCTCTGCTGTTATAGCATTGTGAAGTGCTGAGGCACACTAGTGCTACAAATGCATGCGTGTCCAAGGACCACGTCTCTCTCTCTCTGCCCCTCTCCCTCCCATGGGCAACTGGTGCCTCCTGAGTCTGGGGGGGCACCAGCAGGGCACGATCGGGGGGGGGTGTATCCCCCAGTGGCCAGCTGCTGGCTGGCGGAGCCAATTTCAGGGGGGGCACTAGCGCTCTCCCTACCCCCCTACCAGCTGGAGCACTCGCTGTCAGGGTGGCCATGTGCCCCCCCCTACCTCCCCTATGCATCGCCTATGCTCTCTCCATCTCTCTGCCCTCCCCCTCCCCCCGTCTGTCTCTCGGCTCACCCTTTGATAATTTATTACTCAGTTTATTGTTAGGGGCTATCTCTGGTGAGTAGGGACAAGCCCTGTTTCTTAACAAAACCATGTTCTTAGTTGAGGCCTCAACACTTCTAATGAACTGTACTTCAGTTGTCTTATAAGCAGTTGTCTGTTGCCATTGTCATTTACCCTTTTTAGCTACTGGAACATGGGGCTGTGGGTATTGTCTTGTATTAGCTGATGCTTCTATAGACCTTTGCCTTCTAATGAATGGAGTGTCAGACTTTCTAAAATTTGAGATTTTATCCCTGCCTGCATCCTGTAGTGAATATAATCCTTGATTCTGTTTATAGCTCCTGAAGGTTTTCTTCTAGCTCAAGCAATAGGGCCATTTGTTTTGGCATAGTGGGTTCTGAGTTCTTTCCCCAGTGCTGCCTGTCTACAGTTTAATTCATAATTGTGATGTATGTTTACAGCTCAGAGGTTTGTTACAGTGTAGATCGGGACAGTAATCCATGTTGCAGGAATTATAGTGGGCCATATAATGCCATCTGTTTTTAAGCAGAGCTTCTCATTGCACTCACTCAGGAGTTTTAAGTCATGAGGGAGGTTTACTTAAAAATCAGTGGGTAGAAATGGTACGCTGACAGGAAGCTGTATGAATATTATGGAGGGATTCATCTTGAAGCACGCATACCTAGCATTATATACTCCAGAGCACCTTTTAAAGGACCAAAGGTTCAAATGACAGCCCCAAAACTCCCCTTGCCAAATAGGCTTTTTTTTTTTTTTTTTGATGAAACACTAAATCTGAAATCTATTAAATTAAATGTAAACATGTTAGCGCCCTTTCTATCCTCAAATAATATTATAGAGTTATAGTCATGCTGCTAGAGTTAGAATAGGTCAGCATTTCCCAAATAAACTCTTATTTGCAGGTACTGATATGACATACTGTAAAAAATGTAAATTTGAGGCAACTTGGTATAGATCATTTTAGAACACATCTTGTTTGGCTGTGCAGATTCCAAGTCAAAACATATTGGCCATGTCATTGGCCATTAGGGCTGTGCAAAACAGCACTCTTCCATTTTGACTTGCGTTTTGATGTTTTGACAGAACAGAATTTCGTTTTGAATTTCATTTCGATTTGAAACCGCTGTTCCATTTTGTTTTGTTGAAAAAGTTCCACTGTTTCAATGTTTCACCCATAGGCTATAATGGGGAAGCTTGAAACAGCTATAACTTTGTCCTTTCTGGCCTGATTTGGATGAACTTGCAGGAATGATAGCCCCTTCTGAGGGCATGAAGCCTGCCACATTTCAAGGAGATAGATGCAGGGGTTTGGGGGAAATTGCACCTCAAGCTGTGGACAGCAGAACTCATGACATGGGTAACACAGTGTGTGGTAAGGCACATCAGGGTGAAAGCTGCAGGCCTGCTAGCTCCTGCTGAGGCCATGAAGCCTGCCAGCTATCAAGGAGATCGGTGCAGGGGTTTCAGGGAAACTGCACCTCAAGCTGCTGAGAAGCAAAACTTGTGATATGGATGACGCTGTGTGTGTGTGTTAAGGCACAGGAGGGTGAAAACTGCAGGCATACTAGCCGCTGGTGAGGCCCTGGAGCCTGCCAGCTTTCAAGGAAATAGGTGTAGGGGCTTCTGGGTTCTGGGGCCCTGCAACTCTGGCTCCTGACAGGCAAAACTCATGACATGGGTGCTTGTGGGACTGTGTCTGTCTTGGGGCACACAGGGGTGAAAACTGCAGGCCTGCTAGGCTCTGCTGCAGCCACAAAGCCTGCCAGCTGTCAAGGAGATCGGTGCAGGGGGAGTCTGGGTTCTGGGGCCCTGCACCTCTAGCTGCTGACAGGTAAAACCCATGACATGGGTGGGTGAGTGTGTGTATTAAGATGTGCCCTCACTCAACTGACACCAAGGCAGAAAGCACGGCAGTTCAAACAATGCTGCCTTTTATGCAGGTTTTCCATCCCTCCCCCAGAGCACTGGGATTGGAAGGGACCTCAGGGAAGGATGACAGTCAGTGGCCAGCTATACAGTCAATAATGAGCGCACTTCTCTCCCCCTTCCCTTCTTTTCCCCCCTCTTTTCCCCCCCTCCCTCTCCTTCCTTTAGTTTCTGTTTCCCTTCAGGCAAGCCCAGCTTGAGCTTTGAAACTCAAAACGTTTTGAAAATTTCAAAACATTTCGACTTGCCTCGT